CTCTAGCCCGGGCAACACAGTGAGACTCTGTCTCAAAAAAAAAAAAAAAAAGAAAATAGTGAGATAAGCCTGGAATCAGTCCTTAATTAAAACAAGGAGGGACAGATACCCAGGATTCAGGGCAATAATAGGTTGCCCATCCCCAAATAATCTATCATCAAGCCAGGTTTGCTTAACTGGAATTACAGGTGCAGTTCTCACATTAATATTTTTAGATACATTTTCCATGGAAAGCCATTAGCATGAGGAGTATTTTATTGTTGAAAATAAAATATTTCTGGTTTCAACCATTTCTAATGTTCTCCCTTTCCAGTCTTCCTTGTCCCAATCCTGAAACCCCTCCACCGAGAGTTCATGTATTTTCCCTCTCTATGTTAATGCAAACACACCACATTGATTGTAAGAACCTTACTAGATTTCCATTTATTTTGCCTCAGCTCCTACATTAATCCAAACAATAAGGGCCTCTAAAACATTCATAAATAACCTGCTGCTGCTGGCACCTAGGAGTCAACTGCAGCAATGTTAAGCAACAACAAATTTCATACTTCAAGAGGCACAGTTAAGGAAAAAGGTTGCTCAGAAAATCACTCTTATTTGGCACAAAGATCCTTAAAAATTGCACGAAATCAGTCAAGTAACTATAGAAACCAATTTCTTCAGCTCCATATCACACGTCTCACACCTCAATTGTCTTTATTATCGTCTGCTGTCAGATCCTTAATCAGAAATGTGAACAGGCTTGATGATTTATTCAGGAGGGAAAAGAATCTGTAGGTCAAGTGAAAAATTTCACACACACACCCATACACACGCCACATCTTCAACCTTAGGTGCTTTCATTTCATTCTGTTCTCAGCAGCTCTGGGGGCAACTCCAGTGAGATCCAATATTAAGGCTCAATTAAAATAAGCTCCAATTAGTGGAGCTTTTTTCTCTGGGGCTAGAAAAGTCAGGAAATGGATATTGGGAAATGTAAAAAGTCAGCTACTGAGAGGAGGCTGCAGACATAAATGAACTTATTTGTTGATTTCTACAGTTGCTATGCAGAGGCCTCTGGGAGTAAAAGCTTAACCAGTCTAAGCTATAAACTAAAACCCCTGCAGCTAAACATGAACTGTGTGAAACAAGGGCTCCATTCCAGAACAGAAAACTGCTGGGCCCAGAAAATTAAAAGCCAGAGGCGTTTTCCATTTAAAACTAAATCCCAGTACCGCCTCCCAGCCAAAGAATTATAAGCAGTATCAGATTTACAAAACGAACAATTACCCTGGAAAAATGTAGCCTATTGTACAGTCCCAGACGCTAAATCTCAAAAGTTTCTTCTTTTTTTTTTCTTAATCCCACATTATATTCCTCCAAGTACACTGCTGTAGTTTACAAAGCCATTTCTAGACAGGCTTAAGCCTTGAAAATAAATTTTAAAAAGAGAGCACATAACTCATTGACCTCATTTGAAGTACTGCCCTTGCCTTTAGCAGTTCCTGTCCTTCCCTAAGGCCTCTGCAAATGGTATGCAACAGCAAAATAAACCCTGACCTAATTGCCAGGAGAGAGCTGCCAACCTTCCCTCAGACACAAAGACAAGCATGGTAACTTGAAAGTCCTACCTCTTTGGCTTTCTGCTTTAATCTCAGCTGTTCTGGATCTTCTTTATTGGAACGGCTCTATCAAAGGAAAAGAAAATTTTAATAGAAATTACTAGCATCTGAACACCACAGTTGCCGTTAAATATTTAATAAATGACAATTTTCTCTTGTGATTGAATATCTTAGCTCCAGGGGAAAATGCCTCAATCCAGTCTAGCTGTGCTCCCAGCCTGACTCCCCCTCCCCTCGTCATCTGGGCCGGCTGCTGCAGCTCTATCTAGCCTGGAGGAAGCTTATACTGAAAATGATGCTAACAATGTCAGTCAGGTCCAGTTGAGGCATGACGTTGTTCTTGTTGGAACACTGAAAACTAAAAAACGGACGGTACACATGAAGGAAAGAAAAAAAGAATAATTGTTGGCTCAAATGAATGAAAACAATCAATACTGGCTGATCTCGAGGAGAAACCATTTCGGAAAAACATGGTATTTTCAAGCACTATTAAAATCAAGAACCTGACTAACCTTAAACCAAATCTCTCTTTTGAAAAGCAAAATTTCTAAAAGTGTAATCAGGAAATCCATCCCAATATTTTAATTAGAATATCTCATCCTCTTTGGGCCCTCTATAGCACTTAATAAAATGTTGTGCACAAGTAAATGTTCAATAAATGTTTATTGAATGTCACTTTCCATAGTACAGGACTGGCATAAGAAGAGAACTATCAAAAAATAAAATAATTTTTTTAAAAAGAGAGCTATTATATATAATGCTATGATGGAATAAAGGGTAAGGAACTTTACTTCTGACACCATGAACATTTGTCCACTGGAAAATATACTTTGGATAGGTGTATCTTTCTTCTCATCCTAACAAACTTATTTAACTGCTTATAAATCTGAATGTTTGTTCTATAAAGTGCAACCTTACCTAAGTTAAAGATAGCTAACAAAAGCTAGAGTATTTTCATATTTACTAAGTTTACCTGATCTTTTATTGAATGACCAGTACTTTTGTTAAAGGAAAAAAAAGAGATTGTTTAGATTTGAGCGCCTTTTAAGTAGCAAAATTCTACCCAAAGCTAGTTAACTTTTTTCTTAATTTCAGTCCCTAAACTATTAAAACAATTTCATCTAAACACAAACTAAGATAAACTCCTTTGTTAGTGTAGCTATAGCATTAGGAGAGGATGAGTATGCTTATATATGTGTTTATATGTACCTATGTATATATGTATGAGGATATGTATATAATTTTTTGCCCCAGTATAAAATGGGCACATGTGGGTATCAAGTGTTTCTTTATAAGTCATCAAGTATTTACTGGTCATCTACGGGACAGATTCTACTCTGTGTGCCATTGCTCTAGGCCTTGGAGATACAAAGTCCTTGCTCTCAAGTATCTTACATTTTAAGAAGAGAAAAATAAAACAATTTCATAAAAAGTATATGTACATATATAGATTTTACATATAAACATAATATATAAACATAAAAAGTTTATAGATATAAACACATATAAACATAAAAAGTTTATAATATGTAAAACATTCCTGATGGGTAAAGATATAAAACAAATAATTGCTGGTACTAAGTGCTATAAAGAAAATAGAATAATGTAGGCCGGGCACGGTGGCTCACGCCTGTAATCCTAGCTCTCTGGGAGGCCGAGGTGAGCAGATTGTTTGAGCTCAGGAGTTCGAGACCAGCCTGAGCAAGAGCCAGACCCCGTCTCTACTAAAAATAGAAAGAAATTAAAAAAAAATTAATCGGCCAACTAAAAATAAATAGAAAAAATTAGCCAGGCATGGTGGCACACGCCTGTAGTTCCAGCTACTCGGGAGGCTGAGGCAGAAGGATCGCTTGAGCCCAGGAGTATTTGAGATTGCTGTGAGCTAGGCTGATGCCACGGCACTCTAGCCCGGGCAAAAGAGTGAGACTCTGTCTCAAAAAAAAAAAAAAAAAAAAAAGAAAATAGAATAATGTGATAGAAAGGAAGAGAGGAATTTGGGTACTCCTTTAGCCAGGATAGTAGAGAAAGCATCTCTAAGAAGCGACATTTGAATAGAGATCTGAATGACAAGAGGTAGTCATGCAAACATCTGGGGGAAGAACATTCCAAACAGAAGGACAGTAATCGCTAAAGTCTTAAAATGGTAATAAGCTTGGGAATATTTGAAAAAAGAGAGAAGACCCATGTGGTTGAAGCATAGAGAAAAGTTGAAAGAGAGAAAGATTGGAGATCATATGTTGTCTTGTAGGCGATGGTAAGAAGTTGGAGGTTTAATTCTAGTTATAAAAACAAGCCACTGGAGGGTTTGGAACACAGGACTAAGATGCCACTGATGTGACATTTTCGAAAGATGGCTCTGACAGCTATGCAGAAGGTGCACTGTAGGGATCAAGATTAAAGGTGCAGGCACAGAGAGCAAGGAGGAGCCTGTTCTAAAACAGCTGTTGTGAATACGAGACTGATTAGGGAAAAGATAAGGGCAGCCTGGACTAGCCTCATAGCAGAGAGGATGATATTTAGTTATCGTTCAAAACATATCTGGCAGGTAAAGCCAATCAGATTTGTTGATGGACTTGACATTGGGTATGAAGTAAAGAATCAAGGATGATGCCTAGGATTTTGGCCTAAGCAACTGGGAGGATGGTAATTCCAACTTTCTGACAAAGTAAAAATCTAAGGAAGGGCAGATTTAGCAGAAGGGAACTCAATGTTCACTTCTAGATGCCTAATTGGAAGTCTAATATCCTAAAGCGGGCATAAGCTTGGCATACTCAAGGATCAAAAGGTCAGTGTGAGGAGAGCATAATAAGTGAAGGGAGTGAGAGAAGGAGGGAGGTGACAAATAACATAAGGCCTTTTGAAATTTGCTAAGAAGTTTGGATTTTAAGTGCAACAGGAAGCCATTAAAGGCTTTCAAGCAACAGAGACACACATGACTCGTTATGAAAACATTCTAACTCTAGATGCAGAATGGATTATAGAAGGAAAAGGAGACCAGTTACAGCAGTCCCCAACCTTTTTGGCACCAGGGACTGGTTTCATGGAAGACAATTCTTCCACGGACAAGGGGGAGGGGGTGCGGGGGGGTATGGTTTTGGGATGATTCAAGCACATTACATTTGTTGTGCACTTTATTTCTATTATTACATTGTAATATATGCTGAAATAATTATACAACTTACCATAATGTGGAATCAGTGGGAGCCCTGAGCTTGCTTTCCTGCAACTAATATCACTGCTGATCGAACAGGAGGCGGAGCTCAGGTGGTAATGTGAGTGATGGGGAGTGGCTGTAAATACAGATGAAGTTTCTGCATGTGCATCGCTCACCTCCTGCTGTGTGGCTCAGTTCTTAAAAGGCCATGGCCTGGTACCGGTCCTCGGCCCAGGGGTTGGGGACCACAGAGTGAGAAGACATAAAAGTCCAAGTGAAAGATGATTTACACTAGAGTGGTGACAATGCTGATGAAGAGAAGATGGATACATTTAGGAAAGACACTAGGAAGTGAACTGGATGTGGGGAGAGAGGAGCAACAGAGGGTTAAAGATGACTACTAGGATTTTTTGCCTGAATGATGGTGTCATTTATTGAGTTAGGTCAGAAAACCTAAGAGTAAAAGGTATTTAGAAACTTAAAGCAAGTATAATACATTATATCCAATAATAGCTAAACAAGTATTTAATAGTTTATAACCTGTTTACAGCATAGTGATTGGAAATAAAATATCAATAAACCACCTGATTACCATGGTTAAGTGCTTGCTTATAACACTTGAGGGCTCAAGGAAGAGCATCTTCCTGCCCTTTCTAGTGCAGGGGTGGGGGCAGCATGGGGGCTGAAACCATGAGACAGCAGGAAGCTGCACAGTGACAAGGTTGTGAGGGGTTCAGGCCATGAGAGTAACTCTAGTGGCCAACAATATAGGGTGGTGAGGCCCTAGGAAGCCTCATCAAGGAATAAGCCAGTGAGCATGGCAGCCAATTATGTGGACAACAAAATGGGGTGGAGGGGATAGCAATAGCAGACAAGAGACAGCCAGAATGGCTGGTTGAGAAATTAGTTACATTGATCAAATAAGTAAACTGATTGAGGACATAAGTTAAATATAATAAGGATGATGGAAGACAAGTTTCTGACTACTGAAGAAAGTTTTTACAAACATGGAAAAGTTATCGATAGAGAGAACCCTGAGGTATAGGATTGGAGTTGGAGGTATCCATATGAACTCATGGTTTTATAATATCTACATACAGATATAGAAAGTTACAGATGTATGTTCATGTGTATATATACACATGTGTACATATACACATACCATACATATAATTCCTAGATCTGTCCACTGAGTGCCTACATGTAGTGACACCCTATCAGCAATGAGCATACTGTATGATCTGATTATCATCCTCAAATATAAAGAAGCAGGTTCCTTAGAGAAATGGCAAATTCCAAGGCTAGGAAAGGGAAAATAAAAGCTGGGCCCGGAATGCCTTGTGCCAAAAAGTAAGGACATGTTAAGTCAGTGATAGACACATGACTAAAGGACCCAAGTGACGGCTGGAAGGGTCTCCCACTCAGGAGCAATTGGAGCATCGAAATCAGTGATAATAACAGATCAAACCTGTTGAATCAAAGAGAAATAAGCCCATACTGGTATGAATAAGGAAGAAAGGGAAGTTCTTCCATATAGTAGAGTGCCAATAAATGTAGAAGAGTTGACAGGCATAAAGAATCGCTATTTGGCAACCATCACAGAAGTGGCTGATTCAGGCAGATATCACAACAGATGCTATGGTTGATACGTGGAGGTTTGATGAGGAATAGGATATGGGCATAACTTTAGAACACCTTCCTATGAAAAAGCGATCCATCACAAAGGGGAAAATGGCAAATTTAAAATGGTGAGAACTGGTAGGTACCCACATGACCCTTTTGTTATGATCATCTGAGAAGAATGTGGCGCATTTCTGTGTATTCCTGCCAAGATTGCATGGCCTAAGTCAATCTTAAGGAAATACCAGATGAACCCTGGTTGAGGGTCATCCTACAGAAGGTAAGGTCTGTACTCTTAAAAAGCTGTCGACCACATGAAAGAAAGACTGAGAAACTCTGATTGAAGGAACTTGAAGAGATGACAATTAAATGAAATACATATTCCTGTATGAGAAAATGGACCATGAAAGAAAGAGACACAGTTGATGCAGCTGATGAAATCGGAATGGGGTCTATGCATTCGATGGTCGTGTTTTATTGTTGACTCCTTGACTTGGAGGGTTATAAGGAAGAATGTTCTTGGTTTTGCAAATACATATTACAATGTTTAGGGATGGTGGGACACCGTGTCTGAAGACTACTTTCAAAAAGGTTCAGAAACAATTCTTGTTAATAGTTACACAACTTTGTGAATACTAAAAATGAAGGAAGGAAGGAGGTAGGGAGAAGGGAGGAGACTGTGCAGAAAGGGTGGAGATGGAGAGCAAATGCAGTAAAACGTTAAAATTGTGGGAATTTGGGAAAGGGGCTTAAGAGTTTTTTGTACAGTTCTGGCAACATTTCTCTAAGTATGAAATGATTTCAAAATACATTATATTTTTAAAAAGCAATTGGCATGTGATTAGGAATAAATATTCTAAAAAGGAAGGCTATCAAGAATGCTAGAAATTAAAATTAAGATGCTTAAAACAAAAATTAAGACTCTAGTACTCAGCCTTTAAGAATTCTCGCAACAGCCCTAAGCCTGTGAAGAAGTGTGGGGCTACAAAATGGAAAAGTAGTGGAATTACCTTTCACCTCTCTGGCACCAGTAGTTCAGAAAAATGTGTAAATAAGGCAGAAAGGAAATAAATAAATAAATAGCTTCACTGTTCTCTCTTTTACTCTCTCTAAACCATTTCCACCCATCCTGTATTTTGTTCCACACAATCCAAATTACTCCTAATTTTACCCATAACTTTCCAGTTTACTTTCCAAATTTTCCTCTCTCAACTTCAATTTGACAAATATCAAATCATATCCCTAAAAAAGACTCTGAAAATTTTATACAACACTTTTACCTGGGGCTGAAGGTGGTTGGTACACAGCAAAAGTGAGGAGACACAAGATTATGACTCATTAAACTAAATTAACTGAAAGCCACTGTACCACACCATCCTGGCTGTGAGACATTCTATCAGTAATTTCATTTTAGGAAATCCTCCAGAGAAATCTAAAGGCCTAATAAAACCAAGACAGTCAACCAATGATAAAGCCAATTCTGACCACATTGCCAGGCTATGTTCACTTATAAATCACACAGGCCCTTACCTTGGCTGCCTTAAGTAACATTTCTCTTTCTTCTAAATCCTTTCTCTGTTTCTCCAATTGATCCAGCTTTTCAAGAAATTTGAGCTGTGACCTGGTATCACTACATGGGATGTAATTTTCACTTGCCTGGGGGGAAAAAAAAAGAAAAGAAAAGTCTTATGATGCTGGGCAACATGTTCTGCATTAAATACTGTTATAAATCAGCTAAAGAGTATCACCTAAATAAATAGAAAGCTAAATTTTCAGAAAGTAATATTTTTGTTTCTGTTAAATAAACTTACCTCTAAAAAAACCCAAGGAACTTTAATCATCTTTAAAATTTGAGAGGTGATTAACCATTTATGTTTCAAAGAGCTTTCCCAATGAACTCCATTCAGAAGGGGGAAAAAGGTATTAAGCCAAGCAGATCCTAACAACAGGAAGTAGAAAGCAAGAGGATAATGCCATTTGCCTATAAACTAAATCTTTTTAGTTAAATTACAATTTACCTCAGCAGATCTTAATACCAGTAATTAAACTTTAGGCCTATGAAAAACAAAAAGAAACAATCACCTCAATGAAAAATACACCAAAGACAAAAGTTATCACTCTGGTTACCATGGTTGGCTACCTGGTTACCATCAGTTCAACCTTGACTAGTGAATAAAACTTCTATCAAAATACAACATATGATGAGATGGCAAACATTAAAATACTGAAACCTGTTTTGAGGATTCCCTTAAGTTATAAATTTGGACAGAAATTCTAGTCAAAAAATTTAAGTATATAATTTATAAATGAGCACTAATATAGAAGTATGATTACTTATCTTAATTGTTTCATAAAATGATAAAATTCAAATTGTTCCATTTGTTCTGATATTCTAGACTGGAAAACAGTGCTTTCCAACCTGAATACTTTCTAACATTCTTTGCCTACATGATCACCCCTTCCTCCTCTATGGTACCTACAGCAGCGTGTGTGCTGGAGGTCAGGAGGGTGGGGACCTTCCCAGTCAGTATTTAAGACATTCAGCCATCTACTCATCTCAGTGATTTACACACCCCAAGGAGCCTGCAGAGCAGAAAAGCTGATGTTTTCAAGCAGTTGGCTCAATAGTCAGTGCCTGGCCTGGAAATTATGGGTATAACACCACTCCCATCTCTGTTTTATCCCCATGCTAATGGCTGATTCAATTAACAGGGACTGAGAGATTTCATATGCCCAAGATTCTTTTTAAATTAAATTTTTATTGTTGGTATTTAACTAGATCAAAAGAGTATTACATAGTTTAAGGAATAAGGATGTATTAGTGCTACTTACTTTACTTCATGTTTAATACAAAAAGAATTCCCAAATGTTTTGAAAGTTAAATAGCACAAGATAGAATATGGAATACATTATAGGCTAACCATAGAGGTTAAACATAATAACAAGTGGCATTTTAAATACTTCATCTTTACCATTTTTGTCTTCAGACACTCTGGAGATAGTTTACTGACAGGATTTAATTTAAAAGGGACAGCGAAAACTAAATTTAAAGGGGACACAGACTTTCTAAATTTTAACCCAATCATATTCCCATGCTAAGATTCCTTCTTCTCTTCCCTACAACTTGGATATAATTGCCTCTGACATAATCTTTATTAAAAGGATTTGTTCTGTAAACTTTGGATTCAGTCAAAAGGCCACACTCAAGGATCCAGAAGGCCACATGTGGCCCCAAGGCTGCAGGTTCCCAACCCAAATGAAGTAGAGGATGGTAGAATGGATAAAAAACATAATCAAACCACACGCTCTCTGCACTTTAGACAAAACCATACCAATAAGTTGAAAGTAAAAGGATGGAAAAAGGTATTCCATGTAAGGATAACGGAAAGAAAGTATGGGTGGTTATACTAACACCAGAGAAGACAGATTTAAGTCAAAAATTGTTCAAAGAGACATTATATATTGATAGAAGTATCAATCCATCAAGAATATATACACACCAAACAAGAGTTCTCAAATATATGCAGCAAACAAACACTGGCAGAATTATTTTTTAAAATATATAGTTCTACAATAGTTAGAGATTTTTAACCTTTTAGGCAACTATTACTTTCTTTTTTTTTTTTTATTTTTTATTTCAGCATGTTATGGGGGTACAGATGATTAGGTTACGTATGATGCCCTTACCCTCCCTCCTCCCCAAGTCCAAGCTTCAAGTGTGTCCATTCCCCCGGAGGTGTGCATCGCACTCATTGTTTGTGCATATGCCCGTCCCCCCTCCCCCCTCCCTCTGCCCAACATCCAATACATGTTATTCT